ATTCAATTTATAAAATCAACACCAAAGTAAAATGCAATTTCATCCAATTAAAATTTAATTTATCAAATTTACACCAACTTATCATTCAATTCATCAAATTAACACCAAATTAACATTAAATTTTATCTAATTGGCATTAATTTTTTTCTAATAAGCATTTAGTTCACTAAATTAACATTCAAATTCAACTACTTACACATGAAATTAATCAAATAAACATTTAATTTCATTCAATCAACACTCAATTCATTGAATTAACTTTCCAAATTAAATAATAAACATTCAATTTATCAAATTAACACCAAAGTAACATACAATTTCATCTAATTAATATTTAATTCATCTATTTAACACCAATTAATATTCAATTTTCATCCAATTAACATTCAATTTTATCTAACAAGCATTTAATTTATTAAATTAACATTCAAGTTCAACTAGTTAACAGAACTAGTTAACATTAAATTAATCAAATGAATGTCAAATTAACATTCAACTCACCTAATTTATATTCAAATTTATCCAATTAACACTCAATTAATCAAATAAATATCCAAAATTATTTAATAAATATTTATCAAATCAACATCAAAGTAACATGCAATTTTATCCAATTAAAATTTAATTTATCAAAGTAACATCCAATTCATCAAATTAACACAAAATTAACATTCAATTTCATTGAATTAATATTCAATTTTTTTTTCTGATAAGCATTTAATTTATTAAATTAACATTCAAATTCAACTAATTAACATTAAATTAATCAATTCAATTTCATTCAATTAACAGTCAATTCATTGAATTAACTTTTTCAAATCAAAAGAAAAAGATTCAATTTATCAAATTAACACCAAAGTAACATACAATTTCATCTAATTAATATTCAATTCATCAATTTAACACCAAAGTAACATGTTAAATTGATATTAATTTGCTAATTTTTCTGTTAATTAAATACTTTAGAGATAAAATTGACAAAATTGATACTTTATATATGAAACTAATAAAATATCCATAATTTAGTGATAAAAGTGTATTAATCCATTTTTGAAAATCAGGATTGGATGATATAAAATATTAATTTGATAAATTTAATATTAATTGGATGAAATTAATTGTTAATTTTATAAATTTAATGTGAAATAGTTGAAATTGAATATTTATTAGATGAAATTGAATGTTAATTTTGTTTTGATTTGATAAATTAAATGGTTATTAGATAAAGTTGCTTGTTAGTTTAGTGTTGATTTGATAAATTCAATGTTCTAAATACAAATTGAATACTTTAGGGGTCAAATTGATAAAATTGATACTTTAGGGATAAAACTGACAAAACTTCCACACTTTATGGATAAAACTGTTATTATTGGATTATAGTAGATATTAATTTGATGAATTGAGTATCAATTGAATGAATTTGAATATAAATTGGATGAAATGAATTCTAATTTGGTGTTAATTTGATGAAATTGAATGTCAATTTGATAAATCTTAATGTTAACTAAGTGAATTTAAATGTTAATTTGATAAATTGAATGTTTATTAGATAAAATTGAATGTTGATTTGGTATTAATTTGATGAATTGAATTATTAGTTGGATAAAATTGTATGTTAATTTGGTGTTGATTTAATTTTTTTTTTATTATTTTAAATGTTAATTTGATGAATTGAGTGTTAATTAGATGAATTTTAATATGAATTGAATGTTAATTTGATGTTAATTTGATGAATTGAGTGTTAATTGGACGATATTAAATGTTAATTTGATGAATTTAATATTAATTTGTTTAACTTTAATTTTAATTTGATGAATTGAACGTGTTAATGTAATGTCAATTTGTTAACTGCTTGTTAATTAAATACTTTAGAGATAAAACTAACAAAATTGATACTTTAGATATGAAACTATAAAATATCTATAATTTAGGGATAAAAATGTATTAATCAATTTTAGAAATCAGTCACGAGCGATCCTGATTTTGTAAAACCAATCATGATTTTGTAAAATGGGTTAATATACATTTACCTCTAAAATATGCATATTTTATCAATTTATCCCTAAAATATTAATTTTTTTTTCAATTTTATCTTGAAAATATTCAACTAATATGCAATTAGGCAAATTGACATCGCATTGACTTTCAAATTCATCCAATTAATATTCAACTTATCAAATCAATATTCAAAAACATCCAATTAATATTCAATTTATCTAATTAATATAAAATTGAATACTTTAGTGGCCAAATTGAAAAAAAATATATTTTAGGAGTCAAAATGATAAAATATGCATATTTTAAGGATAAAAGTGTTCTTTACTAATTTTAGGAATAAAATTGTAAAATAGTTTACCCTTGTTTGGATAAGTTTACCATTTTTTTTCCCGTCAATTAGGACTGGTCTTAAAGCTTAGGAACCAAGCTTGGCGATCGTAGCTTAAATCAGGACCGATCCTATGACATGTTTAGTAATCAACCATTTAACTTAAATCAGACTGGTCTTAGTTGTCCTAGTGATCAAGATTATCACTTTCAAGGGTAAGTTATCACTTTTAAGGGGTAAATGATCACTTCTTGATGATAAGGTGCAACTATTTGGGTATAAGGTACCACTTTTTTGGGTATAATGTACCATTTGTTGGAGATAAGTTACCATTTTTAGGGAGTTAGGTACAATTGTTTGGGGGAGAAGATACTAATTTTTAGGAAAAATGTACCATTTTTTGAGGGTAGGTTATCACTTTTTGGGGGTAAGATACAACTATTTTGGGGTAAAGTAGTAGTTTTGAAAGTAAGTTACAATTGTTTGAGGGATAAGGTACCACTTTTTGGGGGTAAGATAATCTTTTGGACGTAAGTTCTAACTATTTTAGGGGTAAAATATCACTTTTAGGGGATAAATTATTACTTTTTAAGGGTAAGATACAACTATTTTGGGATATACCACTTTTTCGGAATAACTTACAACTATTTGGGGGCAAAATACCATTTTTTGGGAAAATATATCACTTTTTTGAGATAAATTATAACTGTTTGAAAGTAAGGTACCACTTTTTAGGGGTAAGATTTTACTTTAGAAAGTTACCATTTTTGTGGGATACGTTATCACTTTTTGGAGGTAAGATACCATTTTTTTGGGGTAAAGTACCTTTTTTTGGGAGAAACTGGTTGTGAGTTTTTAATGTACAAATATTAACTACTGAAATCCCTTACTTTTTTGGTACTATACCAAAAAAGTAAAAGGTGATACCAAAGTTAACTCTTATTTATAATTATCAATTATGTCGTGTCGTGTAATATTCTGTCGTGTTATTTTTGTGTCAGGTTATTTTCGGCATATGTCGAATATGTGTTAATATTCGTGTCAGTAAAAAATTATTTAATTCGATAACAACTTGTATAATAATATTTAAAAAATTTAATTTTTTTTTTGTCTACAATACTCTTTAAATACTTATTTTATATCTACTGTACCCATTAATTATATTATTCGTGTTGAATCTTAATTTAACACATTTATTACTTGTGTCAACTAATCGTGTTATTTTTAAATTTTGTGTCAGGTTGAGTTCATGTTAATGGATAAACTTGACACCCCTAGGTTATTGCTTGTGGTTGTCATTTATAAAAGATCTATCAATGGGTTAATGCTAGTTGGTCGCTAAATAATTTCACATGTATTTTATCGCTTGATCAATGAAAAATTTTCCTCCTGTGCTAAAATGTGTCTTAATATGGTAAGAAGTTTTTGGATTTTCTGTCTATGAAAACATCACCTACCACAGAGTAATCTTTTGATTAAAACATGTTCACATTTTTTTAGCTTAAACTTTATTCTCTGAAGTTTTTACTAATAGCCTTTTTATATCATGAAAAATTAATAGTTTCAAATTTCTTATTTTTTTTAATACGTCACACTGTGTCCCAATTAAGATAAAAAAAATTGCATTAGGTGAGCTAGCAACTCCTATTTCGTAATTACTCATTCTTTGGAGGGACCAACTTAAGCTCTTCCTTACCTTTTCTTCTAGAAAAGTCCCTTAGAGGATTTCAACAGAAACAATTCAAATTTCCTATTTTATTTTTTTGAATACGTTACACTATGTACCAATTAAGATAAAAAAATTTGCAATAGGTTAGCTACCAACTCCTATTTCGTGACTACTTATTCTTTGGAGGGATCGACTTAAGCTCTTCCTTTATCGTTTATTCTAGAAAAGACCCTTAGAGGATTTCAATAGAAATAATTCAAATTTCCTATTTTATTTTTTGGAATACTTTACACCATCCCAATTACGATAAAAAAAATTGCAATAGGTGAGCTAGCAACTCCTATTTCATGATTACTCATTATTTGGTGGGACCGACTTAAGCTCTTCCTTACCTTTTTTTCTGAAAAAGACCCTTGGAGGATTTTTAACTATCTAGAATTTTCTTTCATTGATCCAAAACTTGTTCCTTTTAAATAGGGGATTTATTTATACCTTATAATTTTCTTGATCTAGATCGAGTCGAAACTCGAACCTATAGCTACACAGTCTCCCAAAGAATATCACACAGATTAGCATCTTCTTTAGTATCTAGTAGTTGTATTACGTAGTACAATCAACTAGTATTCCAATCTCACAACACCCTCTCACAACTCAAAATACAAGCATGGTACCCACCAGAGCCACAACTAACCTGAGGGCTATGGCATCCCATAATGACAACTAAAAATCAATGTTGCACCAATTTAAGTGACAAAATTTGCTACCCAAATTATCAACTGTCGTTGAATTAGTATTGGATCTGAATATCAAATTAGGTCCACTGCTAATCCCACAACAACTGTGGATTTGATCAGTAAATTTGCTATGTAAATTTGCATTTTTGGTGCTAGTGGGTTTATTGGACAACTAACTGCTCCCACTTTTTTGTATCAAGTGCATCCTGCTTGTAATATATAAATATAGTCAGCAGAAACACCTAGCATTATTAGTTTCCTCCATAGTTTGTTACTTCTCTTTATAATGAAGAGCCTTCTCGATGAATTTATCAAAATTGTTATATGAAGATCCCCCAATAGTAGTAGCTTCTTCTGCTTTCTTCTTCCAGTCACGAGCTTTCACCCTCATCTTCTGCCCTTTCTCCCCTTCCATCATTTGTCTAACAAGTTCTTCAACTTCTTCTCTATTCACATCGTGATTGATCTCCATTCCAATCCCCCATTCGGTGCATGAGTATCGACAGTTCGTTTGTTGGTCGGCAAAGAATGGCCAGCATATCATCGGCACACCTTCACATATTGACTCTATCGCAGAGTTCCATCCACAATGCGTCAAAAAAGCACCCACAGCTGAGTGGGCGAGAACTTCATCTTGTGCACACCAACTAGCTAGCAATCCTCTATCCTTCGTCTCCTCCAGAAATGCTTGAGGCAACATTACCGAATTACCCTGCAAGATGTCTGGTCGAACGATCCNCTTCACATATTGACTCTATCGCAGAGTTCCATCCACAATGCGTCAAAAAAGCACCAACAGCTGAGTGGGCGAGAACTTCATCTTGTGCACACCAACTAGCTAGCAATCCTCTATCCTTCGTCTCCTCCAAAAATGCTTGAGGCAACATTACCGAATTACCCTGCAAGATGTCTGGTCGAACGATCCATAAAAATGGTTGCTTGCTATTTGCAAGCCCCCATGCAAATTCTTGGAAGTGTTGAACAGACATTGTTGCCACACTTCCATAGTTCACATACACTACAGAGTCTCTCTCTCTTTGGTCTAGCCATTGAAGACAGTGAGAGTCTGGCTTCCATAAACTTGAATTAAGCGACTTGACTTCGCTCTCGGGCACATTTCTGCATAGCAGGTGGAGAGGCCCTATTGTGTAAGTGTTGGGATAATTAAACTTGGAAGTGAATGCCTCTAACACTTCATGTTCCAATGCATCGAAACTGTTGAAAATTATTGTAGACGCATTTAAGCAGTTCTGTGCTTCCTCTCCCATGAAATCAAACATGATGTCATTCGGATTGGTGGTTCGTAGGAAGCTTGGAAGGTCCATAAATCGTATGCCTCTCATGCTAGGAATCCAATCAATAGGTAAATCGAGAGTCCCGTCGGTAAGGTAGCTTTCATCTGGGATGCATCAAAGTGAAATTGAGTTCGAGGATAATGTTTCAAGTGAGAAAACCATGCTGCATATATCAGCTATATATATATACCAGAATTAGATCAATTCATGTGCTTTGCAAATATGACTCAATTCTACATATAATAGATCACTAATTGTGACTTCTTAGAAATAAATATTTTTGCATCAGGTTGTGATGCATTCAAAGGTGGGGTAGATGTATTTATTGCTTCTATGAGAGAGAGAGAGAGAGTCTGCAATTATTGGCCCCTAATTATAGGCTAAATGGTCACTATTAGTTTATTACTTAAAAAAATTAGATTGAAAATAATATAAACGTCGGTTTTTGCAATAACTTTTTTTTTAAAGAAAAATGAATCAGAGGTAGCTATGAATAGATCAAAAGATAATTATATGATCAAAAGATAACTATCATATAATAATGAAATTTTGAATAACAAAGAAAGATCCAAATATACATGACCATCAATCTTGGAATGAATATTGGAAAAGTCCAAAGTTAGTCCCTTTTTCCTGGGGTTCTTGGTTGCTGACAAACCATCAAAACCTTGAAAAAGACGGCCACTACTCTAGAGCATGACCTTGTAAGCCACGTATTAGTTTTTCTCAATTTTGTCTGATTTTGTCAATGCATTGGCGTCAACACCTTGGTGCAGCAATAAGTGATAAAGTTATTTGGACTAATCTCAACTTAGATCGAAAGATCATTTGAATTTGAATTAATATTTTTTAAATTTAAAAATATTAATTTATATCTTAAAAAATATAAATACGTATCAGTGTATATTTGAGATTAAATACCATCTATTTAGCCCGTTAAAATTTTTTGGGTTAATTATAAATTATACCCCTCAAAGTTTAAATATTTCAATTAATGTTCCAAAAAAAATTTCATCAATTAATACTCGTTAAATAGATTTTAATTGTATAGTATCATAATATTTTCGTTTTGTCTTTGAGTCAATAAAGAAATATTTTTAACACACAATATTTTCATGTCAACTTAATTACGTTGTGTCATATATTTCACATTTATGACATTCATATAATACTATTTAATATTTTTAAAAACTAAAAAAATATTTATTTTTTTATCTATAATACCGGTCAAATAACTATTTTCTGTCTACAATTATATTATTCGTATCTAATTTTAATTTGATCGAACAATTAAAAGATTTAGCCATTTAATGAGTATTACAGACAAAAAATAAATATTTAAAAAATGACTGGAAGGATCGAATCAGACTCTTACGACCTCACAAGAACTGGCAACTTGTCTCCACTGATACCACTTGCAAACTTGAATCCTCACCCCTTTGTTGAGTGGTGAGGAATTACCCAAGCTAAGCTTGGGATGCTCTCATAATCTAATACTCTATTAAATCTAAATTAATAATACTATTTAAATCTAAATTATTGACGTAATTTTTTAAACTAATTCATCATAATTATTGCAGTAATTACGGATCTTAACAAATAGTGGAACTCACTATAAATTTAATAATTATAAATAAATAGACTAATAAATTAAATCGATAAATTAGGTGTAAATAAAATTGCTCAATCTAAATTCCCAAATCACATGATACTATGATAGACAATATAAGGAACAGTAGTTCACTTACTTTTAAAAGGGAAAATCCCCCTTTTTATAAGTTCACGATAATGCAAGTATCCCATAAAGGAGCAAACGGAAGCAGTCCAGAATTGAACTTCTGGAATGCCCATATCTTCCCCAGCTTTTATGCCAAAGCTCATAACTCCATCAGAAACTATACATGTAACTGGAGGTACGTTATGAGATGAATTCAACTTAGCCAATAGCTCCTTGAAAGGAGCCAAACAATTCTTTCTAGTCGAGTCACATAGCTTTGGCACATCTTGTGTTGCATCAACGTCCGATGGTGGCATTCCATCCGGTATCGTCTCGAACTTGAAGTCAGGCAAGCTCTTCACTGATTCTGGCCCTTTCGACTTGATCAAACGTCTATGGTTAAATTCAGTGTTGACAAAGGTGATATGAAAGCCTCTGGAGTGTAGAAGCTTGGCAAGTTGCATCATAGGGGTCACATGGCCCTGGGATGGGTATGGGACCATTACTGCATGAGGTTTTCCACTTCCAACATAACCCATTTTTTTGGCAAGAAGGGAAGCAAATTTAGAAGGCTTGTACAAGCTATAGATAAAAAGTTTGTGCTACATATATTGGAGGAGTACTGTAATCCTGACCGTTGGATTGAGAGTGAGATGGGATGACAAGAATATTTCGAATCAATGAACTAGACAATAGAGAGAGAGCACCATGCCATTATGTTATTGTTGACCATATGCCTTCCTTAGACAATCATCTCATGGCAGCTGTTCAATTTACTTTCATCGTTTTTCTTTATCGACATCAGGCATATCCATTATGTACATTGGGATATGCATTAGCTGTCGTGCTTAGCAATTTTACCAATTTGGTAAAATTTTGTGGTATTTGGATGACCTATAAAAAATATTTTTAAGACTTTATGATTTCTCATAGTTAGTTTGATAAAAAAAAAAAATAGTGTTTGATCTTATTTATTTAAATTATTTGCATATAATCAAAAAAGTTTTACCACTTATATAAGTCAATAAGTATACACAAAAACAAAAAAAAAAAACTCTTCTAAAATCACTTACATGTAAAACACTTCTCATTTTTATGTTTATTACCATCATCCACCACCAGCGATTCGCCACCACTAAAATTCACTATAAGAAATAAGGGTTTTAGCTAATAATTATTCCCTAGTAAATTTTTTGTTGCTTTCTTCGATGATTCCGAAAAAAAAAAATTCATAGGTAAAAATTGGGTTCTACCAAGGATTATTTTGCCAGCAATTACATTCTATTTCGTGACCAATTATTTCAGTTCTTCGGTAATAAGCATGAGAAATTACACTTTTCCGTAGAAAAAATGTACTTTTACCAACAATATTATTCCTTGGGAAAAAGCTGCATATATGTGTATATTAGCCTTGTACCTAGGAAATTTCCCTAGGCAAAAGCCACGTGATCTTACATTAGACTAACTAACTGTAACTTCATTAAATAAAATCATAAACAACCGAAAAACCTAATCTATAAAATTTATTTCAATATTCCAATAACAAAATCATGTGACAATATAAGTAAAATTTCATACATCCCATCAATTGAAAATTTCCAATTTGCATAACACCCATGAAAACAAAAAGAATTCAGAAGCTCCCAAATTATTAAAATTTATAGAAAAACAAATAGAAGTCAAACAGTCGAAGCTATTCAATCACATAAAGTCCTAGGCTGTATATAAAGGTCTAGCTAATTTTATGGAAATAAAAATTTCGAATTCCAACCTCAGTATAAATACGATGCAACCATTGTTGGACTAAAACAATTTTTTGAGTGTAAAAATTGAGTTTTTGGTCGACTTTGAGCATAAATTAAAATGGGACCCGATTGTTATTTTGAATAAAATTTCGTGGGTTCATATTCTACTCCGTGAGGAGAATAACGTGGTATATTCACTTGCTCAAATCGAGTAAGAAATGAATGAGAAAATAGGCTCCAAACTGACCCTCTTAAAACATGAAAAATAAAGGAAGTGCAATGTGAGATGTGACACCAATCCCATATTGGTCGAGAAAGAAATTCAACATAGGCATATATAGGCCAAGTTTACTCTATAGGATTAGGCTCCAAGGGGTGCCACAGTTTTACGAGCGGAGCGAGCACCTACATGCCTTCAGTTCAACCAACAAGAAAATGAAGTATGTTGGCCAGTAAGGGGCCAAGGGTGGTGATTCCAAAAGTTTCAAAGACAATTACTTTGTGTGCAATAAATCGAGGCATCGTACAAAGAATTGTCGAAGCCGTAAAGCACAAAGGAACAACAGGAGGAAGGCTGCCCAAGCCAATATAATCGAGGTAGAAAAACTATTTGAAAATGTTTCTAACATAAGTTTTTTTGTTGTAGTATCCGAAGTGAACTTGGTGGGAAATACCAAGGAATGGTGGGTGGACACCGGGGCTACTAGACACATATGTTCGGATAAGAAGATGTTCTCCTCATATGCAGCAATTAATGATGGAGTACAACTCTACATGGAAAATTCCTCTACTTCCAAAGTTGAAGGCAAATGAAATGTTATATTGAAGATGACTTTCGGAAAAGAACTTACTCTTAATGATGTGTTACATGTTCCAAAAATTCAAAATAATTTTTGTGTCTGGATCATTATTGAGTAAGAAGGGTTTTAGGTTGGTTTTTGAGTCCAACAACTTTGTACTCACCAAGAGTAGAATTTATGTAGGCAAGGGGTATATGAACAATGAGCTCTTTAAGATGAATGTAATGACAATTGTATCTGATTTTAATAAAAAGAACATATATTCTGCTTATATGCTTGAGTCTTCTAATGTATGGTATGGTAGATTAGGACATGTTTATTTTAATACTATGCGTAAATTAATGAATTTAGAATTGTTGCTTAAATTCAATAATGATGCAAATCATAAATGTGAGGCATGTGTTGAATCAAAATTAACTAGAGCATTATTTCATAATATTGAAAGAAGCACTGAACCTCTAGAGTTAATTCATAGTGATACACGTGATTTGAAATATGTTCAAACTAGATGTGGAAAGAAATACTTTATTACATTTATTGATGATTACACAAGATATTGTTATGTATATTTGCTAAGGAGTAAAGATGAAGCATTAGAAAAATTTATGCACTATAAGAATGAGGTTGAGAATCAACTTGACAAAAAGATTAAGGCAATAAGAAGTGATCGAGGTGGTGAATATAATGCACCTTTTAATCGATTCTGTCAAGAACATGGTATTATTCACCAAACTTCTGCGCCTTATACACCTCAGTAAAATAGAATTGCTGAACGTAAAAATAGAAGTTTAAAAGAAATGATAAATGTCATGTTGATTAGTTCGGGATTACTTCAGAACTTGTGGGGGGAAGCTTTGCTTTCAGCAAATTATATTTTAAATAGACTACCCTACAAGAATTTAAACAAAACCCCTTATGAATTATGGAAATGAATGAGTCATTTCTAGAAATATTTAAAAGTGTGGGAGTGTTTGGCTAAAGTGATGGTTCCTATTCCCAAAAGCATTAAATAAAGACCTAAGACTATTGATTGTATATTTATTGGTTATGCAATAAATAGAAGTGCATATCGCTTTCTCGTGCATAAATCTGATATTCCTGATATACATGTCAATACAATCATTGAGTCAATAAAATACATCATTTTTTGAAATTGTCTTTCCTAGTAAAAATGCATGTGATGAGAGTTCTCTTAAAAGAGCTCATGATAGTGCGACTAGTAATATAGACAATGAGTCTATAAATGAAGAAAGTGAAGAGGCACCTAGATGCAGTAAGAGGGCAAGGACTTCCAAGTCCTATGGTCCAGATTTTCTAACATATTTGTTAAAAAATGAGCCTCAAAGCTTTAATGAAGTGATGTCCACTCCTGAAGCACTTACGTGGAAAGAAGCTGTAAACAGTGAAATTGAATCCATCATGCAAAA